ATTGTTACAAGTCAGAGCTGTGTAATTCTTGTGACTTTATGGATGCTTAGGCATAAAGTAATCTGTAGATGGAGATAAATGTTTTGTGCAAAACATCATTTGCTTCATGCAAGCCTGTCTGTTACATGCTTTCTTGAACCTGATGAGCACTAAAAGTAAGGTTCAGAAGATGGATCTTTACATTTTTAATAATTCGTGAAGGAAGATATGACAGTAATTGCAGCATAACAACTTTGTTTTGTTTTTCTTGTACCAAGTGGGGGAGGAAAAAAAAAACCCACAAGAAAATAAGTGGTAAGAATGTAACCCTCAGGTATCTTTAACTGAAAGTTGATCTGGCATAGCATAAGAAGGAAAATAAATTAAAATTCAGTAAATGCAGACAAGACCATCCCTTAAATACTTTTTCAACAATATACAGACTCTAGTTGGAAGGAATGTCCAGCTCTTAATATTGTATTGTTATTGGATACCAATATGGTAAATTTTGCCATAGCACTAAATATGAAATATTAAGATTAATTACCTTTTTTTTTTTTTTCCCCAGTATTCACAGGGATTTTAAATGGGATTGCAAAGACTTTTGATGCAACAGTAGATTTTTATTCTCTTTTGGATAGTTTAGGAGATGGTTTCAGGGCTTTGAGCAACCTGGTCTAGTGGAAGGTGTCCCTGCCCGTTCAGGGGGATTGGAATTAGATGATCAACTAGATGCTTTGCAACCCAAATCATTCTACAATTCTATGGTAATAGGTACAGGATGCTACAGAGGCATGAACTGAACAAATAAACATGAAAATTATTGGACCCTGGCCTGGAGATTGAGCACAGGCAGCCTCAAAGGTGATGTGAAAGTAATTTTGCTAATCTGAAGCTGGAATGTTAAAGATTTAGAGACATACAGGCCAGGAGGTCTAAGGAAGTCAGGTTTTATGCAGGTGTTCTGATCAGTTTCTTAAATTAGAGAAATGTGATGAACTGGAATAGAAGGAATTTCGTTAATGGAAACTGTTTGCTTATTTTTATGGAGAAATGCTATTATGGTTGCATAGAAAACATTCTGTTAAGATTCATGGGGGAAAATAGTAATACTGATAATATTTTAATTTCTTTTGATGTGGAGAATTCTTAAATTTCATAGATATAATCTAGCTTTGGTTTTGAATTCTAGTATTAGGTGAAATAAGGGCAGCCTGAGGAAATCAGTGTTGTGATAAAGGATATTAAATTAATTTTGATCTTTTTTGCAAACTTGAATTTTTATTTCAAGCAAGTTTATTCTTTATCTGAAATGCATAGTGTCTTGAAGCAGGAGCTTTTTGTCACTGTTAGTGTAAAACTACGAATTTTCATACGTGTTCCATTTCAGACCTCAGTAGTCCCTTTTGTAATGCCTACTTTACCTTGTTTATTGTATGTTCAATTTTTTCTTTATCTTTATAAAGTATTTCACAGGCCTCTAAAAGAATAAGAATAGAACAAAGGTGAATATATTTAAATTGGATCTACATTTTCCTCAGGCAGTAGAAATCTCTTTACTAGAATAAGTTTTTACATCTCTGATTACCATTAAGATACTATAAATAGTTGTATTTAGGAAACAGTGATACACAGCAGAGATTGCATTTCATTTCTGTGGAAACTGCTCCTTTTCTCTCCTTTTTTTGTCTTCCTACCTTCCTTCAGTGTTCTCCAGTTTTGTATTTCCTTCCCAGCCAACTAAACAAAGTTTGAGATGGTGATATTTTAAATGTCAATTGCCATCAGGAATTTTAAGGCAAACTTGTGTGATTGTATTCCTGGCAAAAAGTCAGCGTGTGCTTAGTGCCCTGTAACATGTAGCCATTTTGCATGTTGCCGAAGCCCTAGAGGTGTCTCCTGAATGAATAATATTACTCCTTATCCTCATGTCTCACTTTATCATCATCTGGTGTCTTTTTAACAAGACTAAGGATATGAGTACAGCAGTTTGAAGGAACTGAAGAGCTTAGTGAAGGATAATAGAATGGAGTGCTTTGCTGTTGTATCACTTGTTCCAGTCTAGTCTCGGCTTATAATGTAGAGTTGGTGGCTTTATTAGCAAGGCCAGAAATGCAGAGACCTGACTGCTCCCTGACCCCACGTGGGTGCTTGTGGAACACCCTATATGTGGGAAGTGCCTGCTCCTGTCAGCTGTGTGCAGCAGTTGCGTGCTGTGGGTGGTGTTCTGGTCCCCTTCCTTCACCCAGGCATATTTAATAATCAGTCAAGGCAGAGGGGTTGAGACCCCTCTTCTCACCTGCCAAAACCAGAGCTCTGAATGCGGATCACACTGAAGCATAACTACTTCCTGGCAGTCATCAGAATAACGTTTCTTGCTCCCTCTCCCATTCCTTTTCCTGCATCTTGGTTCTCAAGCCTTTTCCTGCCACTCCTCATTAGGCTGTGGATGCTTCTTTAGCACCACTCAGCCACTGCTTCTGTGCTGACACACGCTGTGCAGCTGCCATTCAGCAAGGTTACTGATGTGGCCTGTGAAATATGTTTGGAGGGGAAAAAAGCCCTGCTGGTTTTGCTGCTTGGAAGTGAGCTATCACCTTGTGATGGTTTCCTGGAATCAAGGGGTATGGACTTTTGTTACTGACATACTCATCTTCATGAGATGCAAGAAATACATGCTGTTGTATTTGGGCTCAAAGATGTTTTCCTGTGATGGCACCTTATGTTGTCTGAGAGAAATTATACAAGTTTAAGAATAATCACTTCAAGGCTGCGGCTGACTGCAGTCAAATGAGGTGCTCTTGAATCTCTCCAAATAAAGGCCACCTTACATAAGGCTCACAGTTCACCTTATGTATTGTCATATGAATAGATGGCTGTCCATAAGTTGGGCATGTCTAACAGTATCTATTGATGTATTTCCCCCTGAAATGGTGGGAACTAATGGCATTTAAAAATACTCTGGTGTTGGTTTGTTTTTTGTGTTGTGGTTTTGTTGGGTTTTTTCAATCGTTGGTTTTGGGGTTTTTTTTGTTTGTTTCTGTTTATGTTGTTGTTTTTTAATAAAATGAATTGCAAGAAGATTCAGAATGCTTTAGAAAAATAAGGCTTCCCTTGTGTATAGGAATGCTGTCTTTGGTGGTCTGCTTATGTGTAGTTAGAGCTTTGGACTTGTATTACTTCTGTGTCATGACAAATGTCATAAATTTGTCATAAAGACTTAGTCTCCAAGCCTGCTATAAACTAAAATTATTCAAATATTGAAGGCATTTATGGTTTGGGGGTGGGGTTGGTAGAAACATTTACAGAATTAGAATGCCTTTATTCTTGATACAAAAGTGTGTTGTGTCACTCTGGCTTCACTGTTTGGCTGGTAGATTTCAGCTGTAAATTGTATTACAGTAGTTTTTTGTAAGATGCTTAGTTGGTGCATTTAATTAGAAGCAAATATATACCTGACTCCAGACAGAGATAAGAAAGAAAATAGAATATGTCCTACTTTTGAGTGCAAAATATCAGAAATAGAGAATTTTATTTAGTGTAGAATTGGAACACTAGAGTGACAAGTAAGGAGAAGTATGTGTTTTTCTCAGGAGCAGAAAAAAAAATAGAAGCTTTAAAGACTGCATCTTTTCAGAAGCTAGGGTGAAAGAGCAGTAATGACTGCAGTCTCTTTGTACTCAGAGTCATTGGCAGAAGACACCTTCAAGTTTCTTGCTTTAATATACTCTTCTGTTATATTTTAACAGAAAATATTTGGAAAATAAGAGTGGTTTTGTCCCCTACTACACCACTTCATTTCCTGAGCTCTGCATAGTGATGCATACAGTGTGGGGATATTTCCTCTGTAAATGTACAGATAATGTCTGTCTTCCCTGCAAGAAGAAAATTGGGTGCCTGATGTTCATAGTGTACCCTATATAGAAGGAGTAGTAGAGCTGTGGGGTCAATCCTTGCTGCTTTCAGTCCAGAAGAGGGATGAGGATCTCCACAGTTCAGTGGGTGCTTGCTTAGTTGGGAGCATATGTGCACCCACAGAGTTAAGAAGAAAGGAGGTGGGAAGAAGCACTTGTGTAAATGCTATTTTTGTGGCCCTGCTTTGAGCAGGGTGTTGGTTCAGATGACTTCCAGAGTCATCATCCATCTCCATCCTGAGTTTGTCTGTGATGCTGAATAAAAAAATTCAGCTACGTAATTCCAGTTCTGAGGAACTGGGGTACAGATAATTAGTTTCTACATCCCAAGAACCTGGAAAAACTGTCTTCAGTAATGTTTGTGCTGCATTTTTGTGATGGCTAATGAGCATGTGTTTGTATATATACATAAAATATGTGAGTATACTCTTTAATTTTGTTTATGAATCTGGAGACAGGTGGTGACCCAGTTTGCTCAGAAATTATACCATTGCCATGGCAGATCAGTAGAACTCTGTTTAATAGCACTGCTTATAACAAAAACAATAGCTTAATAATTATCATAATAATGAGTCATGAAACTTTAAAGATTTCTTTACAGTTGAACTATTTGCCATTAGAGTATATTTTCAGTGGGTCTAAAGAGTGAAACTGGAAGAGGTAGATGGACTTCTAATTGACCGAATGCAGTCTCAGTTTGAAATCTGCTGAGACTGAAAATTATGGATGTCATAAATCAGCAAGCAGTGGTCAGAGTTACATAAAATCGGCCGGTGTTCTCCAGAATGGTGCATGGTGTCTTAGAGCCCCACAGGTACTGAGTGTTGAAAGGGTGCTAAGAAATAGCCACAGACCCAAGTAGGGATTTCAGTTGGGACCTCTTGGCTGTTTATGCATCAGTAGGCAGCCTGGAAATAGGACTCCTATGTTGTTCCCCCATATTATTCCCCAAACTGGGTGCACTATATTTGTTCCCCATAAATGAATACAGAAGTTTTGGTCAACAGTACTTGCACTGTAAAACCTCTTTTCACAAAAGCTACTTTCAAGGAAAAGCATAGCAAGAATTGTGTTTGAGAGTTCATTTTCTTCCCTGTGCTCTCTTAGGCAAGCAGTGGTTAAAGGCTCCCTTCCACATCCTTTTGCTTTGACGCTGTTTGGGGACACGTTGTACTGGACTGACTGGAACACACATTCAATCTTGGCCTGCAGCAAGTACTCCGGGGAGGACCTGCGTGAAATACATTCCAACATCTTCTCTCCCATGGATATCCATGCTTTCAGCCAAAAGAGGCAGCCAAATGGTAAGCTGTCTTGCTTTCTTTTTTTTTAACTTCAAGTTGGCACTGATTTGCAAAAATTTTAATTAGTCTTTTGGCGTGATGGTGGGTGGCTTCACTCACGTCATGATGCAATTTTTCCAATGCAGAGATTCGGGAGAGACCCAGAGAGAAACTAAATATTCTCTACATTGTTTTTTAAGTGCAAAAACCATCTCTTTCTTATTTTCTGCCTGCAACATTTATCCTGTGTTATTCCCTTTTCTGTTTCATGTGCCATAACTTTAGGCAACATGGCTTTTTTTTTTTTTTCCAAGAAGTAGTTCCTGAATGGAAAGCAGTGTTAACTTGGCAGATTATATTAAGCAATACTAGCTCTGTGTAATAACCACTGTCTTAACCATTGTGTTAATTTACTGTGTTTGCATTTTGGTTTTTACATACCACCACTATGTATTCAGCACCAACAAACTGAATAGTTTGTGAAAATGAGAAGGGCAGAGCTGAAACAAGTCTCTTGTTTAGAGCTGCTTCCTCAAGAAAGGAAACATTCAACATCCATGAATTTTGGTACTATAAATACCCCCACTACTCAACACTTGTAGTTAATTTTTTCTTGTTCTGTGTTCAGCATTTCCTTCTTTAATCTGTGTTGCTGCCACTGATTCTACCACTCAAATGCTGTATGTGTCTTAACACATGAGATGAGGTCATTCGTTATCAGAAGCATTAATCTGTGTGATTTATGTTTAACAGCTACAAACCCATGTGGAATTAATAATGGTGGCTGCTCCCACTTGTGTTTGATGTCTCCTACCAAGCCCTCTTATCAGTGTGCATGTCCCACTGGTGTGAAACTTCTTGAGAATGGAAAGACCTGCAAAGATGGTAGGCTTTGTTTTTAAAAATCCTTTTAGATTAAGCACAAATTATTTTTTTGAGGGAAAGA